ACACCTCTTTATAAACACATTTTTTTAAAAAAATTACTATGGTCCCAACTGTGTGATTATAAAGAGGGATGACTGTATATATATGTCAAATAAATTATATGTATTTATGATTTACAAATATATTACTTTTTGTAGAATGTTGACAATAACGATAGTGATAATGATTCAATGCTACTTGATGATGAATTAGAATCATCAGCTGCATTTGAATTAGACCAAACCTCGTTAGATAATCTGGAAGAGCAATCAAATTTATTGTCTCTGTTAATTCAAAAACGAAGAACAGTTGCGATTCGTCATCGCAAACGTAGTGTTTCAAGAAGACAGGTAATATAATTATTAAAAGAAATGAGTATTATATTTATATGTGCTATATAGGTATTAATTATAAACTTTTAATATGTAGTCCGTTCAATATGAAGATAATGTTAATGCAATGTTATCTAACAAAAATATTATACGATCCAAACTTGAAAGGCTTTTCGAAGAGAAGCAAACTGATTGAAAGCGATGCAACTTTGTAAAATCTTGTCTTAAACAAGATATTCGTTTAAGTGATGATGCTGGACAAAATAAAAAAAGTTATTTACATGGTTTGATAGCAAAAAAAATAAGACAAAGCAAATGTCTAGATTAGAGTCAAACGAAAACTTGTAAAGATTCTAAAACATTATTACATCTTAATATATTATGTGTATACAATAAATTATATATAGTACAGATAATATATGTATACGTAGCGATAAGATTATAGTACATATAATTTTATGCATGCAATTATAATAAATAATATATAAATTTCGCAGTGTATGACAATATAATCATTTTATACTATGTGGGTCAAAACCAATGTTTTTTTTTTTTTTTAGGGTGGGTCAATAAGAATGGGTCAATTGGTTAAAAACAATATTTTTGCCACTTTGATATGAAAAAAAAAAAAAATGTTTACTAATCAAAATAACTCTAGTTTCATAAAACTAAATTAGCTATTATCTTAATAAAATTTTGAGAAAATAGTTTCTAAAACTATAACTCTTCAAATTTTAACTATTTATAAATAATTTCAAAT